TTTAGCCTTGTTATCTTATACAGAATTAATTTCTGCATCTTTTGATATATAAACAAAGTTTCTCAATTGAAACCATTAATTACAAAATTAATTTAATTTGGAATAGTTTGAAAAGCCGGTTGAGAACTAGTTAGGAGTCCAGCTGACGTAGCGAAAACATTGTATGAGGTTATAAATGAGTGAGATCGATAGAGCACAAAATTCTCTATCTTTCTACCTTAGGTATCTTAGGTATCTATCTTTCTACCTTAGGTAGAAAGATAGAGGTTCAATAGTTCAATAGTTACCTTTTCTAGTGGCAAAAGTAACTATTGAACCTCAGACAATGGGCTAAGAATCTCAAAAAAGCAGATGACAAAAGCACGTCGCAGTTCGAGAATTTAGCACTATTCAGTATTTTGAGTGGTGCTCAAACGAAAAAAATGCTATCAGAGATTCAAAAAGCAGGTTCTGTAGAGAATTCAATTCTCTATCGAATGAGACTAGAACCAGATGTTTAGATCATTCGGAAGTGGCTTAAACATAAAGAACAAAAGTGTCCCGTTTATTATGCGCCACCCGTTAATGAGCAGTTTTTCATTCATCCTTTTGTTTTGCGTCTCTCGCTCAATATAAAAATCAGTTAGTTACGTAAGACTATAGGTTTTTCTCCCACTAAAAATACTCGTTACTGCATTAGATGTCGATTTTAGACGATTACGTACTATGGTCGTCTAATACCAGATATTGTACTAACAGAGTTATAGAAAAAATGGATGCGTTCTTTACATAATTTTTAGTGCGTAAAACATTCTTTTGGCGATCTTTAGCCGATAAGTAGAGGTCTGCGGAACGGTTCCAGTCCCGATCCCGCGGGATCTTTTATGTGACGGGGACCCAAAAAATCTTTTTTATGAAACCGGGAGTATAAAAATTTCTTGGATTCTGTGCTTGTTTGTATGTACATGTCGTTTCTTCTCGCTCAGAATGGACAACTTTTTTAAGAACTTTTCACCCAAGAAAAAGAGCAATTTTCTCTATTTTATATTCTTTTCATTCACCCAACGTTTACTAATGTTGTATATCACTAGATAGGATTTATCACAAGCTACAAGACCATGTTTCCAATATATTTGTTCGTTCTTAATGTACAGAGAAAACCATCAAGCGTTAATAGAGGACAGCACCTATTAGCAGGTATAATCCACAATAACTTGATTAGATTAGGATCATTTTATTTCACAACAGAGTTCATTCTCTGAAAATTCAGTAGTTAATAATGCCATATGTTTCATTCATTGAGCTAAAAATAAACGTTTTCTCTTTTTGATTCTTGTCAAAAATAATCTAAAATAATTTCATATTTCGTTTCTGTGTTTCTTATTGGCCATATAACGTTGACGGCGTTGATAGTAGTAAATGATTGATCAAGGATAATACGATCGAAGTTAGCGTCTGTTATTGATGAACAATAATTAGATGTATCTTCGAAAAGATATGGTAAATTTTTAGTGTAATCAGCAATAATTTCTGAAGTAATAATGTGTAGGCATGTTACAAGCCCAAGTGCTTGAGCTTGGGTGGTGGCTTGGGCTTCGCTTGGGAAGTCGGAATTGGGTCAAGCTTGGACTTTGAAGAAAATGTTTGCAAGATATCCAAGAAAGAAGTTATATGTTGTCAATTGAGTTTCTTGTTTTTAGCGTTTCTGTATTATTTTTCATCCATGCAGATGAAAAAGGTCGTTCGAGTGGTGCGGCGGGTACTCGAAAATAGGCCCTCGCCGAGGGCTCAACCCTTCGGAAAATGACATTTCGGACCCTCACTTTCGTGGGGTATCGATTTCGACCCTTCGAATTTCAGACAGGTAGCGACCCTTCGAGAAAAATTTCGAATAGAGATGTTCGGGACTTCTGAGCCCTGGCTCACTTCAGGCTGCGACAAGAGCTCGGAAATCCCCTGAAAAGTTTATATCGAGGGTCCGAAGTGTCATTTTCCGAGGGCTAGAGCCCTCGACGAAGGCCTATCGAAAGCATATTTCCGAGCGCTCGAAGTACCCCTCAAACAACTGGTTGGGACCCTCTGAATAAAACGCGTGAATCACGTGTTTGGCTTTGAGGAGTGGCTACTCCTTCACCATCAATCCTACGCGCATTTTTATAGCATCGATAGCATTTCATAAATTTACACTCATTCTCTCTTGTCTTTCTGTTTAAAATGCGCATAGAACCATGCATGAGGAGTTCTTTTTTAATTCCACTTACGATTGCTAAAACAAGATTTCTCTATCATATCACCCGAAAAAAATAAAGTGGATTTAGAGTTGCTGAAAAATGATTTCTCACACGACGTCGCATGCAAATAATTCCGATAGATCTGTCATTCCACAAAAGAAGTTTTTTGCGAGCACGTTGTTCTTGAATTCAAAACGTTTGACATTTAAAACAAAATTTAAAGCATTTCTGTCTTTTATTAATTAACAAGTAATAAAAAGTAGTAATACTTAGGTCACCAATACTTAATATAATGTAGGTTAAAACGCGTAATGTTACGTTATAAGATCAATAATTTTATAATTCAAAGCGTAGGGTGGCACTTCGTCAACTGACTTTATATGTTCTACATCGGGAATACGTTACCTACCTACAATTTGCACTGTCATACCCACAAAATTAGTAGTTCGTTGATCGCGGTCTAAACTATGAATTTCATTGACTTTAGTTTGTTGTTGGTTTTTTTATCCTTTGATTATTCAAATTACAAATATAGGCAAATATCAGAGAAGAAAACAAAACTTAATAGAAAACAGCCATAGAGATACAAAAAGATAATACCGAGAGATGTTGAATAGGGAAAATTTGTCGTAATAGAGGACAAAACAAAAATAAAACATTTATTAATAGGACACAAAGAGAAAAAGAATAGATAAAAGACATTTATACAAAGCAAATGTTTCAAAAAAACAATAAGTCAATATAACTTGATACTGTTCAACAAAAAAGAAAGTAACAACAACTAAAATTCATTGATATTTCGAAATTTCACTTGATGATGTTAAAGATCATTGAACACACATCAAAACAAGAAAAATAATGGTAAGAAAATTTCTGCACTGATCATTTTACTGACTAAAAAAAAACAAAGAGAAGAAAATCCACTGTCAAATACATGAAAACCAAAAAAGAAAAGAAAAACAAACAACACATTTGATTGAAATAATCAATCATTTTTTCTTGTCACAAACTACTAGTACAAGTTACAACATTTGCCAATGAATAATACATACAAATAATAGTTACATAAGATGCTCAAAACACTTGTAGTTCGTATGTCGAATTAAAGCAAAATTTTCGCACAATAGAACACGTTAGCTTGTTATTATGAACATTCGATTACTATCTGAACATTTAAAAGTAAATTAAGCAAATCGTTAACTTAGTGTCAACGAATCTAGTTTCGCATGAGATTTAGACTTGAATTAAAACGTTTGGTTTTCGATATAGCTTTAGTCTATAGAAGAACAGAATAAAAATGTTGCTATCCTAAGAGCACTCATATACATGAACATGAATAAAAGATTGTACATTTTTTTTGTTAAATCCCTGATACGTTTCTGGCATGTGAAAACAAAGCAAAGAATAGGCAAAAAAATGCAATTATTTTTAGATAGATAAATGGCAAGTGATATCTATAAGTTTTTCATTCTTTTAAAAAATTTTCGAAAAAAAGTCAAGAAAACAAATGAATACCTGAAGATAATTACACATGTTCAGTCAAAAATAGAAAGTCGCGAGAGTCTGATTTTTATATGTGTATGTTGCGCTTATGTTTATATTTGAGATTCCCGATCGAGCTTTTTGTTTCATGTTATTTTCTCAAACTGTTAACTGTCTCTTCTCTATTAACGTCTTCAAAATGAATTTTACTGTCGGAAAAAACAAACAAACGTACAAAAACTTTTTAGACGTGAAGCGTTAGACACCTAAACGACAAAAACAAAAATAGAAAAAAATTTAAAAGTTTTGAAAACAATGACATTGCTATCCATCTTTTAGTATTTACAGGAAAATTGCTGAAAAGAAACGTCCTTCACATCACAATAAAAAACCAACTTAAAAGAGGTATTCGGACGGTATTATATATATATGTTTTCTGGAGGCGTTCGTTAATCACTCTGCTAGGCAGTAAACGACTTTTTTTTCTGACGCCTGAATGTGAGAAAATTAGTTTCGTCATTTTTAAAGTCAACTCTCTATCTGTAAAGCGCTTTTTCAACGATAAACAATAAATGAGCTGCGCAGCAGCTGAGCTTTAATAGATAAAGAAAAATGCTTAGTATACTGTAAGGATAAGGAAAAAATGTTTAACATAAAAAAACAAGTTAATAATTGAATAAAATTCTTGTGTAAAAGTTGCACGATTTGTAGAAATATATGAGCAGATTCATTTTTTGAAATCCCTGAATTTTGATAATGACCACAGACGAGATTATGGCCATCAAAGAATCACACACGCAAAAAGAAAAGAAAAAAAAAGAAAAAGACTTACCTACATGAATAAACACATATTTTTTCAGTTACTGTTTTTTCAAAATGAAAATGCAGATAATGAGGATGGTGTACTCGATGGTCGAGTCGGATGAAATGATGATGATGCCGTTTTTGTTATTATATTTAAATGTTGAGTTGCTGTTGTTTCGGGAGAGCTTGAATTTACTGAAAATTCTGACGGTGATAAATCGCCCGATGGATTATGACTATTTGAACGTTGTACAATCATTCCTGAAGATAACTTATTTTCATCTGAGATGTCGTTATCATCTTCTTCATTATCATCACCATTTGATGGTGATTGTCGATGTTGTTGGAGATCATCCATTGTTTCTATGGCCGGTTTGGAAGATCCAAGTTCCGCTGGTTTTTGCAACATTCGTCTTAATATTGTACGCGCATTTATTATACCAATGCTTTTATTATTTAATAAAAAATTTTCGAATCTGAGATGATTTTCATTCGCATTGCCTAATGCTAACTTATTCGTTAAAACATCTGACAGTGTATTAGACTTTGTATTATTATTTTCATGTTGCTGTTGTTTGCAATAAGCTAAGAGATCTAAAACAGATAATGATGAACTAACACCGTTCTTATTTTGTAATTCATTATAATTTCTTTCATTTAATAAATCATCATTTTGAATATCGTCTTCATCCGATGTTTCACCGCTCTGTTTTTCTGAATCCTTGGAATCCATTTCGATCAAGGTGCGATCTTCTTCGTTATCTTCCGTTATTTCTGTTGACATCGTCATTAAGATGGTTGATTCATTTTCTTCAGTTGATTTTATTTCTGTTCTCGTACTACTACCATTATTGATATCTCTCAATCGTTCTTCATCTAACATTTTATAGAATTTTGAACGTTTTTTTGGTGGCATTTTTCTTATACGATCCATTAATTCATCAACATAGCCTCCTGTTAGTGCTTTAGCTTGATCATACATTTCAATATCTCCTGTACTTGTTGTTATTGTTGATAACGTTGCTATTCCATTTTCGTCTTCAGCTTGTTCCATTGTTGTTGATAACGTTTTATAATGATGTGAGATTGATGAAGACGCTTCAGATGTTATTGATGATCCAGAAGCGGATCGTGTTGTCGGAGAATGTCGACCATTATGATTCAAATGAGATGATGACTCATAACCACTTGAACAATTACTCGTGCTAGAATCTTTCCTTGGTGGCGATTCTTCTGTCTCATTTAAATCAACTTCCTCCTCACTTGCACCACCATGGCTTGTTGTCGATGAAAAACCTGATGATCGTCGCCGATAATTATTATAAGCGGTTAATGTTTCACTTATATTCTCCAATGAAGGTTTATTTTGATATGATGTTGGTAGAAGAACATTAGAGTTTGTTGTTAAATTATGTCGAACAAAACGTGGTATCAAATTTGACGATGAGCTTGGATAAGATGAACGAATTAATTTATAACCGTAACCGTGTTCGGTTGCATCATAATTTCCATTATTACTGGTATTAGCGGTTGGTAACATTTTTAATGTTTCCGGATTTAAATACATCTTTCCCGTTCGGTTAATATAATTTTGAAGTCCATTAATAGCATTAGTATGGTGTTGTTGCTGCTGTGTTTGACTGAGATTTGCTGCTGCAGTAACGGCTGCATGCCAAAATTTTGAATGAACCAAAAATCTTTCTTGATCTGACGATGAAGACGAACTATTATTTTCTCGCGTTTGCATTTTGTTATCACGATTATATGTAGAATAAGTGTCATGTCTGACGAACGATGTAGGCGATATAGATGATTCTCGCGTAGAAGAAGAACGATTATTTAATAATGTTGATAAACGCACATTTTCGTTTAAATTTGGTGAACTAGTTCTTTTTTGTAAACACTCAATGTCTGAAATTTGACCATTTTTAAGTGATGTATTTATTTGAGATGCAAATAATGGTGAACGTATAAAACCATGAGGAGAATGATTATTGTTGTTGTTGTTATTATTATTGTAAGGTGGAGACGGTGTAGAAGACGAATAATTATCGATTGTTCGTGTATTTTTTTGATCGAATGGACGTGCATTATTCTGATAGTAACTGTTAGATGCGAAAAATGGATGATGCGATGATGGTGAAGATCTTAAACGAGATGTTGAGTTCAAAGAAGAACAATGAGATGATGACGATGATTCATTAATTTTAGTCATTCCTTCATTGTTATTTGTGTTGTGTTGTCCATTTGTTGATGATATTGTTGACGATGTAGGCGGTAATTTGTATGATAAGAGCCAGTCAGGATGGTGTTGTTGATTCTCTTGTTTGAAACGATCTCGGATAGCCACTTTTTTAGGTATAGGCAGTCCACTTTCAAAACAAAATGGTAAACCTCCACTGTTGTTATTACTATGCGCTGATGATTTTGCATCAATATGAACATGACTCGACTGTAGCCTGTTCATCTGTCCTTGGTTTGACAATAATTTTTGCTGTTGTTGTTTTAAGCTGGCATTGAGCATTGCTGCTTGCGCTGCTGATGTAAATGCATGATATGGTTGTAAATGTGAAGATGAATCTGAAAAACTAGACATGGCTGCTGCAGCCGCGGCTGCTAACGTTAATTGATTTAATGATGATGAATTTTTACCGTTGTTATTATTCGAATGATTTTGATCAGGTGTTAACTGATGAATAAAATCTGATGTTAAACGCATCGACTTTGCTGATGGATAATTGGACATATTTAATAATGGTTGATGTCGTTCGTCTTGATTAGTATTGGACGTTGATTCACATGTCGAAGATGATGATAATAAATGTTCATTTGATGACGATAGACAAGCTGCCGCTGCTGCGCGTTTTCTTTTAAGACTATATTTTTTATAGGGTGAATTATTCTTAAATGATGGATTTATCGTCCAAACATATTTGACTGGACCTTTTGATAACGAACTAACAACAGGAACTCGAATGAATTGATTATGTAATGATAAATTATGCCGTATTGAATTCTAGAAAATAAGAATCTTGCTATTATTATTATCTGTTGAGAAAAAAATGGCTGTTGATATTTTTAAGGAACAAATTTTTTTACAATAAGTTTCTATGAGATTTCCAGAAAAATACTTCGGGTCTCTAAAACTTTATTAATGAAAATACGCTTTTTTGCTCAAGTCAATTTTGAAACCATGTTTATCATGTAAATTTTAGTGACCAAGTCACTAAACCAAGTCACTTCCACTAAATTTGAGTGGTTTATGAATTTTTGTACATTCGCTGAAAATAGCTAAAAAGATATATTTTCATCTAATTTAACTTTTTGCACTTATCCTGGAAACACACATTGGTACGAGACTCGGCCTAATCGATATCTTAAGTTTCCACTCATTTTTTCAGTTCCTATACGTGATGTCATACTATAGGTACGGAAGAAATTCGATGCCATGCCTAGAGGGCAAGAGATGATGAGGTTAAAGGATCTATAATTTAAAGAAAACACTTGAGGTTATCTATTTATGTAATGAAACGCATATATTTCTATCCAAACTTTTAAAGGATGATTTTCCGAAGATCTCATAAAAACTCACTGAAAAAATTAGATTTGTTTTAATACATAGATGCGATTAGGTCTTTCCTTTCAAGAACCGTAAGTCTCAAGCTATCATCGTCGAAAAGCTATTCAAAAAATATCTATGATCATGCTTTATTTTATGGATGGTAGTTGGCTATTTCCAAAAGATAGTGTCACCAAATTATTAGATACCATTGTATTTCATTGCATGCTAATATCATTTATACAAAATATTCTGAACACTTACTTTCCATCCCCAACTCGATTTAGGATCAATTTTATCTTTAAAATAAGGTACAAATTTAATAATCCATTCGTATATTTCATTCAATGTTAATCTTTTCCATGGACTACTTTCAATAGCTCGTGTTATTAATTGTGCATACGACAAATTACCCCATGGATTACGGTACGTTTTATTGATACCAATGCCTAATTCTTGAACAACAGATTTACCCAGACGTTTATCATATTCTTGTAGAATATCACGTCGTTCTTTTCGATGTCTTGGCCATGTATTATATCTGATACGATCACGATGATGACTATTATTTAGTCCGTTTGATGATAAATCAATTAGCGATCCACTTTCTCGTCGGTCATTAAGTGTTGTATTATTATAAGATGAACATGTTAAAGATGAAACGGGGGATGGTGAACGATTGTTGTTGTTGTGTATGAGTGATGTACATGTGATATCAATATCATCAGAATAATGACAAATATCATCATCATTGTATGCTCGACGTGAGCGATGTTGTGAATACATTCGTAGTATTATTCATATAAACATGTAGAAAAACAAAACAAATCTCTATCTAAAATGTTAGAAAATAATGTTTGTGATTTAAAGTATTCTATGGAAAAATATAAGAGTGCAAGATCTTACATTGAAACTAACAACACTATTGTATTGTAATAGGAAATGTATATTTTTCTTGTGGTTCATATTTATGTCCAAAAACGTATCTGAGTCAAATTCTAATTTGGTATGAGTTTATAATGTAAACACATTTTTCTTATCATCTTAGTTAAACAGTGTCCTTTTACCTTCCACTTACCGTACCTCGTAGAATACAAAAAACAGAAAAATTTAGAAGGCATAAACGAGCGATGAGTACATGTCGCCGCACACCAAATGTTTCTCTCTTCTTTCCAAAAAATCAGCAGTTTGTGCATACGCAAATAGAAAAGAAACACATATATCTGCAAATATTACATCATTTGCGACAGGCAACAAAAAACAGAACACAAAAAGAAAAGAAGGAAATTAGCTTGTGAGTGGGTACGCTAACAATGGTGTATTATTTTTTTTAAAAAAAATCTGATGGGGTCATATTTTCTTCTTCTCACATCTGGAGTTTTACAAGAGAAGGAAAAAAAAAGAAAAAAAAAATAAGTTTCTCAAAAAAATCTGATGTTGAACTATAATGATGTATTTTCAAAAAAGTTGTTGTACTATGAACTATAATGTCGATGTAATCGTCAAAAAAAAAAAGAAAAATTGCATAGGAAGAAGCAAACTAAGTCCATATATGTCACAAGGTAAAAACCAGAAAGAAAAAAAAGAGTCACAGAGTTTGTCAAAAAAAAAATGACCTCAGCTCTAGCATGAAGAGTTCTCTTTTTCTATCTTTAAAAAGAAAATGGACCATTTTTTTTTTGCCATAATGCCAAAAACATTCTGAGTGTTCTCTATTTTTGTATTGTGTATGTCCCAAAGCACATAAGGGTCGCTTCTTTTTTTTTTTGTGATACCGACGCTTGTTAACCGCAAAATTTACGATTTTTTTCATGTATAAAAGAACAAAAAAAAATATTGGAAGAGAAAAAGCGCAAGCGCGAAGAACAAGAAAGATCAGTATATATAAGTATACTGCTAACATTATTTTATCATGAACGTACTCATTTCTCTATTATTTATTAGATATCAAAAACTCTTAGCGATATATAAATATCGATGAAGCAAATAACGATAGCATTATGTCGCAGAGAAACATCTTGCACAAAAAACATTGAAAGAGCAAAAACAATAAAGCCTACTATATACTTCTTTACAGAGGTAGTTATTTTTGTTGTTGTAAGAATGATGTTTTATGGACAACATCTATTTGTTTTATAAATTAATAATCAGTCGTCTCTCTAGCTAACTATAGCTACAGTCATTCAATATTCTGATACGTCACTCAAATTTTGTTGCCTAATGTATTCTATCGGTGAGCTTTTCAGGTATTTTTCGTTCATCTACTGACTACTGTAATATTTTACGCTAGTTTTTATTATTGAGAATGTATTTTCTGACTTGCTGACATTGATGAGTAATGGTTACATATTAAGTCAAAGATAAAAAAAACCAACTAATGAAAAGATGCGTAATATTTAAATGTCATTATCCTCTCTCTGGTTTTTTTGTTTCTCTTTGTCCATATAAAAAAAATAGAATACTTATGGACGGATGTTCGTTTCATTTCATGATGTTATTATTTATTGTATATCTCTATAGGTGATAGTACTCTAGAGAATGTGTTCTAGAAATTAGATAGACAAAAACAATATGTATGGTACTATGATGTGATGAGTGTGCACAGTTTATTCTTTTACTTTTTCAGAAATGTTATATACCGTTGTATAGATGAATTTCTTTTCCTTTGTTCATTTAAAAATAAAAATAAATAAAATAAAATAAAAACACAATAGACATACACACACCATAGTGTATTAGTTTTTTTATGTACGCAGACATGCTTACAATATGTCTATTTATTCGTGTATAATGATATAAAAATGGAGGATTATTCCAAAAAATTCGAGTTCAACATTTGAATCCAATTAAAATAATATTCATAATGGTAAAACACCGAGAAAGGGAGAAAGCACAAAAAGTCATCTTTAAAGAAAACTAAATTAGAAAATGTATGTTAAAGCTTGACAAAAACAAAAATGAGTCAAGTCATAGATCTTTGAGTTCTAACAAAAATAGATTGTAATTCTTTAAATTAAAGAATATTACATCCTTAGAAATGTGTTTACACTAGTAATACTTTTTAAATTTTTTCAATAAGCTCTTAATAATTCTTGAATAAACGTTTTTGGTTTACACTCGTGGTTTATTGCACAAAATTTTATACTGAGAGTAAAAAGTCGTCATTTTATGTTTCTTAAACATTGTTCGTTCATACATGAAAAGAAAATATAAAAAGAAAACGTTCATCCATGATCTAGAAAAAATGACTGCCAAGACTTTAAAACATCTTAACTGAATTACTCAATATTGAGTTAAGGTATCGAGTACAAGATTTAAGCTTGAACCCTTTGTTTTTTTTTTGCAAGTACAAGTAGTTTTAGTGGGAGTTAGTCATTAATACAAAACATTTTCGCTTCCAATCGCATATTCAAAAGTAAAATATCATTCTGTGTCTTATAGTTACATACGTTTAACACAATGCTACTGAGTATAAGAATTCAAGGATTTTCGTGCGTGATAAATCATTAGTTTTTTATTAATTTTTATACATAGATGATGGTCTAATGTGAGGAATCGTTTTTCCTTAACTTGCTAAATTTCTCTTTATCATTAAATTAAATTACAGTCAATCCCTGCAGAACCATACCATTTTCATAAAGAAAATGTTGATTTTTAAGAAAATAAGCAATTTTAATACATCATACATAAAAACAAACCAATAGTATGGTAAACTAACTACAAAAACAAATTGTTGAACTTCTATGTTGGTGATGTAGATTTAAAGACAGAGAGCCTACGCCCTAGGCATCATATTCATCAACAACAAAATTAATATTCTACATAGAAATGTAAGAATGTCGGTATCTAAGGTATAGGCCACATCTTGTTATGCATAATACAATTTTTTAATTTGAAAAAAAAAGTCATTATACTAACCTATAAATGATTTCAAATCATTCTTCACTAGATTTTAGTTATTCTTAGCAATTACGTTCTGAAAGTTGGATATATTCATCATACAATTTGATGTGAGTGGTCCCTTTCCACATGTTAGGAATGAATGTGATGATCGAAATAGTGTTTATGATAGTTCTTTTAATTATTACTGTTTGAATATGATATCATCAATAGATTTAAAAAAATTCATTTCTCAATAATATTTACTCAACAAACTTGAAAATTTGTTAACTAGATAACTTATACAGGTTAAAAAATCTTTACTAGAACCGAATAGCTGCTCATTGTTATTTATATAAACAGACAAAATACAATACATACGTTCTTTTTTTTTTTCTTTTTTTATAAGCAACACCTTGATGAATTAAGATTTATGTAGATATTTTTTTCGTATTCTATATTTTTGGTTTGTATTGAAAGGGCAAAAATATAGATGCATGTCCAAACACACAAGGTTTTTTCAGCATTGTCACTGTCATATTATCTTTGTAATTCGTTTGCATTTTTTACTTTTTATTCTTTTTTTGCGATATATCAACGTGTGTATATGTATAAATCTGTAACTGTATTATTATTCGCAACAATCTATAAAAGAACAAGGTTGTAAATATTACGTAATTCATCGCTCTTCTCTTCTCTCTTTCTCTCTCGTTTCTTTATTGACATAATATTGATGTTATAGATATAAAAATATATTTTTCATTCAAACATCATCTATGATCAATTTTTTTTTTTTCTTCTTGCCTATATTTTTTTGTTTCTATAGTAAAACAGAAAGAAAATATTTGAATCATGCTCACGTAACATGGAATTAACATTAAATGGTTTCTTTTATGCATAGAATAAAGAAAACAGTTGATTTTTTTTTTCTAAGTTACTATCAATTTAGAAATAGTTAGAGAGACTAAAGTCTTTCAAATTAAAAGTTGTTGAAATTGTGACTCTATTTGTTGAGAGAAGCTCATTCCCTTATGCATTAGAGTATGAATAATCAAAAACATATGTTTAAAAAGTTACAATTTTCTACACATTCCACCTTACATCATCATATTCAGCAACAACAAAATTAATATTCTACATAGGAATGTAAGAATGTCGGTATCTAAGGTCAAATTTATGTATGTTTTTGTTGGTTCTATTACATCTGAATTGACTATTCTTTTCTCAAGTATATTCTCTATATAGATGAATGATATGAGCTTATTCAACAATATTTTCCAACATGCTTCTATTTCTATATATACTTATTTCTATTCCTATACTGAGCGATAAAACAAATATACAGTAAGAGTGAAAAAAACAAAGAAAATAGATACCATAGAATTACGACTGATGTATTTTATCATTGAAATAAGAATACTGTTGTCAGTGATATGACGTGCTATAAACTCTTTTTGCAATTATAACCTTCGAGTCAAGGTACTATTTTCTAAACACAATTAAATAACATTGTTTAACGACAAAATAATGAATTACAGCTTCTTTTTGACAAGGTCAAATTTACGTACTAATTACATCGAAATGCTTCAAGTCAAATAGATTCGAATTCTTTTTTTGATTCAACTGTATGTGAATGAACCAGCTGTATATAAATAAATAAAACAAGTCATGTCACATCGATGTACTTAATTCATTACAAAAATAGCATTTCTTTAAAACCAGTTGTGAAATATTTATTTTTAAACATATTTGTAGAGTAAAATAAAGTGACTTTTTCTCTTTTTCTTACATAGAAGTTTTAAATAGCTAAAAAAAATACAAGCACAACGGGGATTAATCATGTCTAAGTCAATTTTTAAAAATATTTAAACACAAAAGAAATATATTTTTTTTCTCTTTTAATAAAA